TCCTTCCTTCCTTCCTTCCTTCCTTCCTTCCTTCCTTCCTTCCTTCCCTTCCTGTCTCCCTCCCTCCTTCTCTTCCTCCCTTCCTCCCTACTTTCTTTCTTTCCTCCCTCTCTTCCTTCCTTTCTTTCTAGTTTTATTTTGTTCCAAGTTTGGAACTCTCTTAAGTACTGAGAAATTTGACTTCTAGATGGTTCTTGTACCCTCCCTGTCAAACAGTAGGCTTGGATTGGGATAATAGAATTAGGGCAAATAAGAAGACATGAATATTCTAGCATCTTTGAGAGACAACGAACTGCACAATCCTTTTCTAGGTGCAGAGCCTTGGTCATGGGTGGGATCTGGATGTGAGAGTCTGAGGAGAGGGTGAGGTCAGGAAGTTCCCGTGCAGGATCTAGTGTTCAGGGGCTTCTTTCCAAAGGCGTTTATCCATCTCTAGATTCTGAGTGGCATCCACCCCTGGCTGTCTTAGAGATTTTTTCATTTCTGTGGCATGAGATTTGAAATAATTTGCGAGTATTCCTTACTCTGTGGCTTTGCAAATCAAATACTGTCTAGGAATCAGAAGTAATTCCTATTATCCAGTCAGTGCATGATTTTGTTGTTGTTGACTGTTGTTTTAGATGAGACCCAACACTCTGGTTTTAGAAGTGATGACACATGCCCTTGTCAGGTTTTCTTACGCTTCTCACTAGAGGCAAGGCTCACAGCATGAGGTCAACGATACTTTTTAAAATAAATAAAACAATCTTCAAATGATCGAGGATTTCATTCACTAGGTAATAAATCAGATTTAAATTTTTAACCTAGAAGGAAATGACTACCAACTCTATGAGAGCCAGTATGAATCTTTTGATGTCTCTCTGTTTTAATTTCTTAGGAAATAGCTTTTAACAACCTATACCTTGTCTATTGAATTCTTAACCAGTTCTTACCCTTATCACCATGGGTGATAACGCCCGAGTGCAGACCTTTACTGGTGACTATTGAAATGAGATAACTTCCCAGAAACTGCCTAGAAATAATCATCACTTTATTACCCTTTGAAAAGAAGATTGATAGAAAAGTCATTTGAAAGATGGTTCATTACCATGCCCCAGTAAGATTTCTTTACTCACAGCTCACCAAAGCACGAGAAAGGGAGGATTATTCTCTGAGGTCGGAATCTGAAGGCTGTGTGTTTTGCCTCTTTGAAGTCTTGGTATTTAATTTTCTGTAGTCATTTCTTGGGCAATTTTCTAAGAAACTAGTTGAAGCTAATTTATCATAAGTTAAAGTCAAATGACAGAAAAGATTTTTTCTTCCCCTTAACAGCATTTTATACCACAGAGGTTAGCTTCTGAAGGAAATTGAGACTTAAATAGCATTTCAAATCTCCAGCCACATGGGTGGGGACAGAAAATTGCAAAAAGTCAGGAAGACACACTGGCTTTGCAGTTAACATAATTGTTATTTATTTCCTTGTAGATCAGTATGTGCAGATAAGACATATTTTTTTTTAAATACTCTCCTAAAAATGCTTAAATATGTTGCTTAAGTTTTCAAAGAAAGACATATCCTCATGGGATCGAACACCTTAGTCTCTACCATTTCAGACTTTTAATATAAGTTTGTATAATTTGTTTAACCTTTCTGTTAACCGCCAACTCTGAAATGGAGATGAAGATACTTAACTTCTAAATGAAGGTGAATGGTAATGAGATAGCATTTAGATGGTCCTTTGAGAATCTCACTTAAAAGGCTTCTTGTGAGCCTGGAATCCAGTTCAATAAATAGTGAGAGACTTTCATTTTGGCATGATCTGATCATTATTGAGTATTTACAGACGGGGCTCAGTGGACCTGTTGTTTCTTCACAAGCACAAAGGCGTTCCTGCTCTTTCTCCTTTTCTAGAGAGAAGAGGCTCGAGCCCCCCCCCCCTTTTTGCTTTCAAGATTAATTATACAGTTTCAAATCTGGAAACTGCCCCATTCACAACAGCTCTCTTTTGTTTGCTCTTTGCAGGATTGGGACTTACCTGTCTTGTTTATTCTGCCCTCCTCTGCCTGCAGAACACATTCTAGGACAAGAAATGGAGCCCAAAGTGGCACCACCTGAGGTGTTATTTTCAGAGGCATGAAAAGACAGAAAGAAGATATAGTTTGATGTTTGCAAAGCAGTGTTTTTATTTTTTCAAGTTTTTATTAACCATGATTTAAATTTTGCCAGTACAGAGCTGCTTGGTAATAAGAAAAGTTTGGTCTGTCACTCACCCACATCTTCTTTCAGCAACTAACATCCTTTGGAGCTTTCATCTCCTCCAAGGGAACATTTACTGGCGACCCTTAGAAATTCTATCTATTGAATTAGTTACAAAGCTCTTGCAATTATTATGGCAGAAACTGTTCTGCTAATGACTGTCTAAATGTGGATATAACAGTTGCCTTTTGTTGGAAGGATTTGGGGAGACTCTTCATTGGCATCATGGGCTTGTACTTTAGCTTCTAATGAATCTTTTGCTCTGTATCTTATTGGTAACCAAGCAACCGATCACAGAGCCTTGGGATGCTTTGGTAACAAGTTCAGTGTGTTGCCATGATTTTATAATTCCCACATCACCCTTGGAATTGTGTGGATGAAGACTGGGGGAAGCAGAGGTGGTGGGTGGAGGGGCACTGGACAAGCCTGTGTCTACCATGGGTGAAGTTACAGTGTCACGGACGGTGTCAGAGCTAGTGAAGGGTTTCTCTGAGGAAGAGGTGTGTCTGAAGGATTATATGCCTGCTGCAGATAGAAACAACATAAGAAGAAATACAGTTTACTTCTAGAGGACTTCTGGGAGTATCTTAGGAATAGTTTGAGAAGAGAGGTGTGGTGAGAATCATTATTTTGTCCTTAGTTTTATATTATCATTCAGTGTCTGTTCTAGTCTAGCAATGTTTTATGAGTATTTCTATATTGTACTACATGAAGATTAAATTTAATAGATGATATCTCATCTGACATCCAGCGTTTTCCAAATAAATGAGGAATTTGCAACATAGAGCTCATTATTGGCCAGCAGTAAAAATCATCACAGTGATAACATCATTATTATAGGTAATGCAGGGAGCATTTCTCATCTCCCAGGTACTGTGTGATGTGTGCATTGCATCTATACAATAATCTGATCCATTGGACCATTGTATGCACTGTATAGCTTTGAAAGCACTACTTAATTATAAATGAGGTAGGACATTGACTGCCATCATCAACCCGAGGAGAGCTGAGACTTGAACCTGCAGCAAATTATTGTCCTAGATAGCACAGAGCTAT